GTCGGTATTTATGACGGACACCAGCCAATCATATTCCAGTGTGGGGGAACACAGATGTACGCATATCTATATCCTTCCAGTGTGACGTGAACACATGTAATGCGAGTGGAAATACACTTAAAGCTTGGTCCTCGCTGCTCCAACAAGCGAATGCTTAACTGAAATTCGCTCGTATCTCAAAAGCAAGTAATTAGTCGAACTCCGGCTCTTATCTAATGTCGTTCGTACCTCAAGGCATTACTGTAGATGACTAACGGGTGGATAATACAAAGGACCAGACGGTTTTCCAGTGTTATACAACAAGTATAAAAGTGTATGCCCAACAAGCTGGAAAGTAAGGAACCGCAAGGACTTTATGTAGAGCTCAAAGAGAACAAGAACTAGTTAAGGAGAATACTATCGGGTCTACATATTTTGCGGTAATCAAGTTACATTTGACAGCAGAAACAATGGTCGTAGTTATATGCCTATCGCACAGTAGAGCCTCAGTTCCAAGTGAAAAGTCAGGTAAATATCCTACAGATGAGTTGAGTAGAACAACTCCCTTACTGCAAGATGATAATGTATCGATATCAGTTTCAGTCAATATCTTGTTAAATGAAAACATCTGCGAGATGTTAGCTGTCTGGTCTGAGCTAAAAACGCCAAATAACACTGTAAATTAAGAAGAAAGTGGGGGGATTAAACAATTAGTCTTATTTATATAAACAACAAGAGGGAAGCCCATATTCACTAGAACCAAACTTGAATCTCATTCTATGAGAGAAATGAACAAACATAATCGAGGATACGATGGCAATTAATTGGAACAATCAGAAAGAGGTTTCTGTTGGGATTAGGGCTATCCGCTTGGTACATTCCGTGGGCTATAGCAGCTGCACAGAAGATTGTCGTTTCACATGCTATTTCCAAAATAACACAAAATCATGGTGGTGTTATTTTCGATAGGGAAATGTTGCTAAGTAAATCCCAAGATGAATCCCGCTCAGTACTCTGGTAAAACGGTGGAGACTTTCGAATATGGGATTTATATCTAATAACCTAGTCCAAAATATAAACAGAAACTACACTGTGATCTGAATTGCCAAGAAGACGGTGTTGCAATGCTTGACAAAAAACCAGAATGGGTGGGGTAAGGAAGAAATTGAGTAAAGAATAATTATTAAGAAAACAAGTATGGAAATGTATTACTACGTCTGGTCTGATGCCTCTTGACAAGGTCTAACGAAGAATCTGCAATATTATCGGTCCTGACTTGACATTTCGGCTTCAGTCACATTTGCACAGCCGTCACGTAGTTTCACTGTGCCTTTTCTTTCTATATATTCAGGGTAATTTTCTTATTAGTTTTCCTGTTCAGTAGCTTGATTTCATGAATTTAAACGTAGAACTAAATTGGCAGTTAGGTCTCCGCGTTTTGCAGCTGAAATGGCTAGATGTAACAGTAAGTTATATTATGTTTCTTCTCTTGCAATTCTTACCTGTGGAACACTTTTTTCTGATTTTTTTATTCTTTCCTGTCAACTTTGATCTTCAAAAACTTTATAGCAATGTCAATCGTCATCTTTTTTAATCTTTTTCCTTTATTGTCTTTTCTACTCAATAACGTTTTTTTTTTTTAGTTTTTCATGCTGTCAGATACCACTTGAGGATTAGTGAATTTTGCTGGAAGTTGGAGATGATTTAAATATTGTTAGGTTTATTTTTTAATAGTCTTTTAAGCAGTCCGTGCACAATGGGGTTATGCATTCTGTGCATCAATTTGTAAGTATTTTTAATCTCTTTTCTCTTCAAGAAATATGCAAGCAAACAGGGTGGAGTCTTTGGCTTGATGTACTAGTTTTAGGCCACAACACCAAGAATGAATGAAACTACATGATTTCTAGTAAACAGTAAATACTAAAAATCCCAATTAGTCATTTTATATCCTTACTTTACCAGAGGGCATAGAAAGTTGTGAAAATGACAGTCATACCTATCATTATAGGATTACTGGTTATGGTAATGCTGAAAGTTGACATTCCCTTATAAGGAAACATTCAACATTCAGTGGCCAATTACTGTCGAATGAAATTTATAAAATCCTTCTTTTAAAACATTTTTTTCCGGAAAATAGGCTTCAAGTCAATAGTTTCCAGTATTGATGGGGTTTCCTTCCTAAACTTTTGTTTGAAGTAATGTGGAAGGTAGATATCTGTTATAATACCTACCTTTATGGACTAAATGGACTCGTACTATTACTATATATACGGGGAAATTATGACTCTCAAGAGAGCTGTCTACAGTTGACCTGTTCCAGCTAAACAGTCGAACTCTCTGCCTTCGGGCGGAGAGGAAGACTGCCCCTGAACCAGACGAGGCTTCAACGAACCGGCCTTGTGGCAGACTGTCTCTGGTTCAGGGAGATTGACTGCCCCTGAACCCGTTTATGCCGATTCAAAAAGGGATTATGTTTTGCCGAGCCTATGGGCTCGGAGATCCCACGTTAAACCGGCCTTGTGCCACATGTAACCCTCGTGGAGGGGGGTAACTAAATATCGCTGTCTACAGTTGACGAGTTCATTACTGTACTTTTCCATCAGTCGGACGTGCAACACTTTTTGTTAATAATATGTTTTCACTAAATTACTGAGATCCAGCTTTCTTTCGGATCTATTCTGGGTCCACAACAATATCATACGTCATTATTTTCTGTTCGAGCTACAAGTGCTACCCATTTTTGTTGTTGCCGCTGTTGGAAGTCCTCAAGTAAAGAAGTTCATGCAATTTGCTAGAGTTCTTTGTTTGAGAATCTGCAAGATCTGATGAATGTCAGTTCCCTTTAAAACCTTTATTCACTTGAGTGTAGACCAGGTTTTCACCAAACTACGGCCCGCGGGTCGGATCTGGCCGGCGATGTCAATTCATTCGGCCCGCCTCCGTGCTGTGCCACAAATGTGCTTAATATAATTATTTATATGGAACGATCAATAGATTGTATTTACACTTATCATATAGAAAAACAGAAATATTTAAAAATGTCTAAATTTGGCCAATCTGATTTTTGCATCTTACAGTAATATAAGGTTTGGGAAAAACAGCGAGATAAAAATTTTGTGACTTTTTATATCCTAGCATTTTTTTGTGTAAGTATCTGCAATGAAGTTTCTAAGAAAAGCGATAACGAGCCTAATGCAGCGACGGTGTTTTAACTTGTATTCAGGTGCTTAAACCGGTTTGAAGAGTTCAAAAGAACTGACTTCAGAGAATTATGTCATATATTTTGCTTGAAATCATCATAAAGTCTAAAGTATATAAAGTCTGCACATATAAGTTTGAGTGATAAACATTTGAATTCTCTTGGTTGGATGCAAAAATTCCAAAGCAAATATTGATTATATCTTAAAACATAAACGCCAGTTTCACAAACTTCACTAACCTTTTTTGTTGATTTGTTCGTGAGATTCAGATATGTACGCACTGGGTGTGATATAAATATTTTATTGCTAATATCGTCTTCTTTGATAACATTTTCGTAAATAAATATGATTGTTGTCTTTATTTTTGTGCATTCAGTGTACTGGATTGAACAAAACGTTTATCTGGGTCACATTCGTTATTCTCTCAATTATGTGGGCCTTTGAGAAAAACAAAGGTTACTTAGCCCTGATTTAACTCGAATCCTGGATGCATGATGTTCCTATCGCTGGGAAAATTTGAAACCATCAATTTGATATCCGTTGGGTTCAGTGAAATATCAATTATCCTTGTAAGAGTTAATAAACAAATCTCGTGGATTACTACAGTAGCGAGGTTAATCTTGCACGCATTGCGCGCCTTTTTGCGATCGAAATAAACAAAAATACAATAAATAATAATTAATACAGAGAATATAATATTATACATAAAGTCCTCTCGTGAGACTTTTAGTTAGTGTATTCAGATTCTCACTGCATGTTCGATAATTGAAGTTTCCTTTTGAAATTAGGTCTAGGAATTTTTTTTTTAAAGAGAGGATAGAAAATGCGACACTGACATCCGAAGGCCCACTATGATAGTGAAAGATGTGTTACAAAAGCTAAGCAAAGTATTAACTAAAAGGAAAAAATCCTTAGAAACAAAGAAGGGTAATATTATGTACTATTAATCCTCTTATATGGCAGTAAATGCTGGAGTATCTTCTCACAAATGAAGAAAACAATGTGGTTCTACAGAAGGATGCTGAGAATATCATGAGCTGAATATATGAACAACGACAGAGTTTTTAAAGAAAATTGAAGCAAAAAGAACACTTTTTATTTCAACCAGAAAGACGCAGATGAAGTTTCCTGGACATACAATGAGGAAAGAGGGCTTAGAAAATTTGACACACATAGGATGAATCGAAAGCAAGAGGGGGAGAAGAAAGCAGCACATACCTAACATCCTTGTGTAAATGTTTGGCAGAAGAGGGACTAGGAAAGATAGCAAAAAGACAAAATTTGGTAAGAGATACAAAGGGCAGGAAATTGTGGAGAGCCATGATCGCCAACGTTCTGAAGGAACATAGTACACAGAAGAAGACTGAAGTTGTGTAAATGTTTGACAGAACATGGATTATTAGAGATAGCAGAAAGACAAAATTTATTAAGAACTATAAAGGACAGGAAATTGTGGAGAGCCATAATCGCAAACGTTCGAAAGACCATGGCACATAGAAGAAAAACGAGTTTGTGTAAATGTTTGGCAGAACATGGATTAGGAGAAATAGCTGAAAGATAAACTTCAGTAAGAGCTACAGAGAACAGGAAATTGTGGAGAGCCACGATCGCCCACTTTTTGGTTGCAATGTATATTTGTAATTCCTCTGAAATTATTATATTCAATTCTTTTTGCATGCTTGGCATATTCAGGTTTATCTTCACCTGAGGCGTGAGGGTGTATCAGAAGAAGAGACAAAATAAAAGCACATTGTTGCCAGCATCCGTGGAATGGTCAGAAATAGGGGTGGGGGCGTCAGAAAGTAGCAGTTGGTGAGGGTAATGGGCGACGGCGGGAGGGAGACGTTGAAGAAAAGCAAAACCAATGTCGAAGGAGAAAAAACAGGAGAGTCTAAAAGAATTTCTTATTTAGATTTGACATTCTGTTTATTGATATTTATCTATCGATCTATCTATCACATTCTGTTTATTGATATCTATCTATCACCTTTTGTTTATCGATGTCTATCTATCTGCCTATCTATCACATTCTGTTTATTGATATTTATCTATCTATCTATCTATCTATCTATCTATCTATCAAATTATGTTTATTGATAACTATCAAATTCTGTTTATCGATATCTATCTATCTATCACACTGTGTTTATTGATATCTATCTATCTATCTATCTATCTATCTATCTATCTGTCAGTCTGTCTATCTATCTATCTATCACATTCTGTTTATTGATATCTATCTATCTATCTATCTATCTGTCAGTCTGTCTGTCTATCTATCTATCTATCACATTCTGTTTATTGATATCTATCTATCTATCTATCTATCTATCTATCTATCTATCTATCTATCTATCTGTCAGTCTATCTATCTATCTATCTATCTATCTATCTATCTCACTTTGCATCTATCAATCTATCTATCTATTTGTGGTTATTTATATGTATCTATCTACCGACCTATTTCTGTTTGTTCATATGTATCTATCTACCTACCTGTACTCATCTATCTATCTATCTATCTATCTATCTATCTATCTATCTATCTATCTATTACAAAATCAATAATTTTTCAATGAACTTATATCATTGACCAACTCGAGTCATGTAATGTCGCTCATCAGTATCAGAATTTCCGAAAAAAGTAAAATACATATCGGGCAACTTAACCCAGATGAGATATATTATGCAAAACACTAAAGTTGGTCAATGCGATGTCCACTGACCATTTCTCGATTTATTCAATACTCAGTAAATTTTTTGGCAAAATTCTATTAGCCTTAAAATACTTCAAATTCTAGTAATCATTACGTATTTTGGTAGGAATTTTTGAGCTGTCTTAATTTTTTATCATTTTCCCGCCCTTCAAGGCAATAAAGCCAATAAATGGAGTGGGACCACAAAAGAACAGGAATTAAAGAAACACAAGATGAAAATAGACATTGTATTTGGAATTTTGAAAATCAAAGTGACTTGGAAATCAAGAAATTGGAAGAAAGTTCTACAAGCGAGAAGGAACTATTAGCATAGAACTTACAGTTGCATCTAGTTATTTCCTTTGTAAAATGATAAGACCAATCTGACAATTTAGAGCGGCGCATAAATTCGTAAATTCTAAAACCGATTCCTGTACCTTCATCGAAGTAAAGCAACGTTGAGCCACGCCAGTACCTAGATGGGGGATCGCTTAGGAATACCAGGCGCTGTAAGTTTCGATGTGCGTTGCATGTAATAGATAATGGCTTGGAATTAATAATCTGAATTGGGTTCGTTATATTACCATTACGCGCAGATCCACTTGGAAAAGGTATGAATCCACCTCTTTTCCCCCAGCTATGGGTTAATTATTAAGACTTGTATCACTAAATCATTATTATCTCAAAAGCAAAGGTTCTTACAATTTAAAAATATGATTTAGAAAACGAATCAAATACCGATTAGCTACACAGGCAGGGCTTCTATTTTTTTTTTTTTTTTTTTTACATTCTCTGGAATATAAATTTATAGAAACTAACATGGCCAGAAAGTGGGGGGATGAGTTTATATATTTTCATAATATCCACATTAAAATTAATGTATTGTTTATTAAAATCTGATTAGGCAGGAATCCACCTCGTCTTCCCCCAGCTATGGGTTAATTAGCAAGACTTGTACCGCTAAAATCATTCTTATTTCTCCACTAAAAATACAAAAATTCTTACAGTCTAAAAATATTTTCTGGCTTTAAATAACATACAAACGGTTGATAAGCCTTAGAAAACGAATCAATCAATCGAAATTCGTAAATATATCAAAGAGAAAAGCTATTAAGAACAATTACTATGAAAATATTTATAGAAGAGACGCTGGAAAGCTATATTACGATGGTGGGAAGTGATTGAAGCCGAGATGCCAGATCATTACCAATAACATAGCATATTTTTCTTTTGAATCCTTCCAACCTTTTGGTTGAAGTAGTGTGAAATGTCAACACCTTGTTTATGTAATTATTTTCTTTGTGAGTAGAATGTACAATCAAATACTCCACGGGATGTTTTTTAATCATTTCACCCCAAGCAAAGCAAAAATAAAATGCTCAATATCAGAAATAGAGCGTATGTAAATATGAAAGTGGACATTGAAGTCAACAGTCAGAGGCGACTGACTGTTTCATGCTAAACGCAATCATCAGACCACCTGAGTACGTTTAGCATGAAACAGTCTGTCGCCTCTGAGTGTTGACTTCAATGTTCACTTTCATATTTACACATGCCTTCTCTCTCTCTCTCTCTCTCTCTCTCTCTCTCTCTCTGGCATTGAGCACTTCCTCCCATAAATATAGCATACCGTAAAACTATATTTTTGTCTTTATTTATATGTGTGTGTGTGTGTATGTATGTAGAGACAGACAGGCAGGTAGACAGACAGACAGATGGAGATTATTATGTGTGTGTGTGTGTGTGTGTGTGTGTGCGTGCGTTTATTAATGTTAAGATGCTGAAATAGGCTCGGTGCAACCTACTGCAATAACTGAACGTTTTGTAGTTTACGAAGCCTTCCACCGTTGCAATCCCTGCTCTTCCCCGACGGGTCACCTTCGCTGCAACCCAAAACTGCGGCGCCTTCGCTCAGAGAGCGCTTAATCAGTGGTCTTCTAAATCGACGGGATTGACTGGCTTCAGAGGTGGAAGTAATAGAGAGTAAAGCGAGCTGGTTTCCCATGTGTACTCACTGACAAAAAGGCGGGAATCTGTAGCTAATAGCGGGAAACAGGCGAAGGCAAACGCTTCCACGGCCGTTGGTAACGACGAAGGAATTCACAATGTCAAAGGCCTTGTTATGTACACATAAACTCACCACAGCTACATTCCGCCTTGAGCCAACTTCCAGTGATGATTGGTCCCACGACACCCGTTCCCATTACGACCATCCTAATCGTTATCGTTCAATCCATGTTAATGCCCGAATGGAGCGCAAGTCGCTATGGTAGCAGCACGCTCTTTCATTGAAGGTACGTGGGTCGGCAGGTTTTAAAGGTGGAGAATTCCGTCCTCATTAACGAGTGATTGGTTGGATTCGATTAATTGACGAGACATTTAAAGTTGAAGGTACGACAAGACGGCTTTGTGGAAATCGCACGAGTGTTAACAACGAAGATTATGCCTTGTATCATAGTCTTGATTTTCTATTAACGTTTTGATGTATCTTCTCAATCACTCCCTTATCCGTTCCAATCTTCGTCACCGCCCCAGGTTTTATTTAAATTTTATACAAACTGGAATTTGTTTAATATATGAAAAAGAAAATAATATACACAAGTGTTTTCATTGCATTCTCATTTTGTTTCATTAGTTCATTTATCGTTTCTTCTTTTATGTGCCGTATCACTTCAGATCACGGTTCTCCACAGCTTTCTGTCCTCCTAACTCAGGTTTATCTTCTTACCATTACTGTCTGTCTCCGGTCTGTCGTCCATGTCAGCGAAGTTAAGCAACGTTGAGACAGGTCAATACTTAGTTAGGTGGCCACTTAGGAATACCAGGTGCTGTAAATTTGGATGTGCGGGTGGTGTAACGAATAATGCCTCGGAATTCTTAATCGGAGAGCCGAATTATATTCACTTACGCGCAAATACCATTGGAAAAGATATGAATCCACTTTTTCTACCTCCAGCTATAGGTTTATTAGTAACAATTGTATCACTAAATTACTATTATCTCCTTGTTATAGTCGAACACACCTATTCTATAATCTCCCACCTATAATAAGTAGGAGTAGTAAGAGGAAGTCGCTCAGGGGTCGCTCAGTCAGTCGATGCCGGACGACCGTTAGTCGGATACTAAATTATCAGCGACCACAAATAGATTTCTCTGCGTCATTGTCTATTATATCAAGTTCTTAACGCTTTGTACGTCGAACCTATTTTAGGACCGACTTAGTACAAATACAAGCCTCTACTGGGAAATGACTCCATAACACTCCTATACAAAAAAAATTTACAATCTAAAAATATCTTATGAATTTAAATAACTTGCAAAGAAACCAAATCAATCAATCAATCAATCAATATATATATATATATATATATATATATATATATATATATATATATATATGTGTGGGTGTGTGTGTGTGTGTGTGTGTGTGTGTGTATACATTAGCTTACCTATAGGAAAGCATATAGGAAAAAGACAGAACGAATATATGGGGAAAATCTAAAAACCTACTTGACTAAACCATGGAAGGATACTTCGATGATTGCTTCCTTTTCTGAAATTCTCATGGGCCGATATTAACAGTTTCCGCATTCTAATCCAAAGTTTACACCAGAAAATCACCCAAGAATATAATTTTAATAAACTACCATTCTTAGACATACTCCTCAGAAATAGAAAAAGCAAAAATATGTAAAATTAAGTATAATATATATTTAAAAAATGCACATAATAATCAAAAAGTTTTGCGGCTTGTCTCTTCTCTTTATATATATATATATATATATATATATATATATATATATATATATATATATAGATCAATCAAATCACGTCGCTAATGCTAATATACATATATATATATATATATATATATATATATATATATATATGCAAGCTTACATAGGATTAAAACATGTATCAATATGGTGATTTCCTTTCGTCTTTCAATGATAATGTTATTAAGTTTATCAAATAATATGAAAGGAACTTACTTAAAATAAATAGACAAACTTGTCTATATTATTTGTTGAAACATGTATCAATATATATATATATATATATATATATATATATATATATATATTTGTGTGTGTGTCTGATGCCACAGAATTTATAGATGAATTTAACTGATAAAACCACATATACTATTATAAACGTAACCATTTTGGCCAACATCTCAACAGATGAATCGTTGACGAATAGTATAATATCATCATCATCACCCTGCGGCCTCAGCCGAGATTGAACTCACTACACCTCTCCAGTATTCCCTATCTGTCATAGCACCTAAAAGATCTTCCTTAGGGATCAATGTGTCACGTTTTATCCTATCTGGAAAGGTTAACTTGCGTGATCGATTGACAGATGATGGGTGCCTCCAGAGTACAAATGATGACACAAGTTTAGTATAATATAACGATATATATATATATATATATATATATATATATATATATATATATATATATATATATATATATTGATACGTTACTATCTGGAGAATCATGAAAGTAGTGAGTACCACTATACAGCATCAAATAAAAACAAAGCATTTTTAAAATAATATGCTATGTTTAATGAGCTTAAAACAAGAGATTTCAAGCTGGATTGACGTCACGAGTGTCATCGATGAAACGTCCGAGATCAGACGGCGAATCGTTGTCAATCAGTGTTCTGTCTGGGAAGGAAGCTGACACTTAACAGATTAGGGCACTGTTTTTTTTTTTTTGTTTTTGTTTTTTTTTTCTTTTTTTTTTAACAGGATACGTCCTCGACTGTGCTGTCATCGGTGACTTGAGCGTGACCCCACGAAAATTAAATCAACGACCGCCCGCTCCGTAGAATGAACTAAAACGATATACACACCGAAAGAAACGAAAATT